CCCCAAAACCCCAAAACCCCAAAACCCCAAAACCCCATGATACTCTGAGTATCTTGAATGTTCAAAGTTTAATATTTCAATATTAGATAACTGAAGCATCAGATTATTCTATCAACTGTATCCAACCAAAGTCAGTTTGAATTCGTCAAATAATTATGCTTTGTATTTATCTTGTCTAGACTTTGTTCTGTTTCGATTGTTCATTCTGATGACTCTTCACAACGCCACTGGAAGCAATAATAACCCCAGAAATGCTCCAATTGCAAGCACAATGCAAGAAGGAGTTTTAACTCGGATTCTGCGTTTTCTCATTGCTGGAGGTCTCCTGCTTTTCAAGCTTTTGCAACACAACACTGGCCAGCATACAACAAGCACCAAAGGCATTATGCACACGTATGTCACAAGCACTGTGATCAGTTTGCAACTGCTTGCATTCATGAACGGAGAGTTGAACACTGGTCTCACTTTCTGATTGTTGACTAGAGAAGGTCATGCTTGCGAGTTCAGAGGGTTGAGGTGGTCTTCTGAAAACTCTTGTCTTCAGTAAATGCAGAACTTCGACATTCATCGGGTGCAAGTCAGGTGGTTGCACTGTGCAGCCTTCTCCATGAAAGAGCCTCACTTCGGTCAGAGCTGGATGTTATTTACCCTGAGCATACTCATTGTATTTGACTTCAAGTTCTTCGTGACACGGAATTCCTTCATGCCATGGCTTCACTCAGTCAATACACATTTCAGCATCTCATGAACGACACTGAGCAAGCAAGTCATCGCCTCTGAGCTGGTTGAGGCGGTTGCACTCGATTCAGAATACGAAATTGGGCTGGTCTCTGATTACTGCCAAGGTCTTGGTGAACCTCTTGTACACTTTGCGGCCTACACATTATGACAAGTTTACTCTGTTTCGATATCGAGTGGATGACGATGTTGCGGTCGATCGGAGTTCTGCACTTCGTTATCGGACACTTGATATCAAAGACTTGTGAGTCCTTGATTTTCTGTCTGAGATACTCGTTCAGACACTCTTTACAAAATGTGTGGTTGCAGTTCAGTGGCACTGGCTTATCGCTTTCTCAGAGACAGATCTGGCACTTATCGCCGTTGATGTTGCCTCTACAAAGCTCAGGGTGCTCTTTCTCAACTATAATATAATGTCGAAGTTACGATGGGCAAGTGCCCTGTCAATCATGAGTCTGTGTGTTTGTCTGATTTCATCGTGAAAAGCCTGGCTTGACTCTTCCTTTGACTTGGTCAGGTCGGACACACTCGCTTTGTTGTTGGAGAGTGTTTCTTCTAAGTTGATGTTCTCAGTGAGTTTCCTGCTTTTAGACTTCATCTTCACGATTGTCTGGGAGTCAAGAGTGCCTTCTTCGTTGCCTGGAATTCTGATTTTGGACCCGTAGCTGATCACACTCATGTGGGTGTGGTTGAGAGCAAAAGAGTCGTTGCCTTCTTTGGAAGCTTGCTCAATGATCTCACAGTACTTCTGAGCGAGTGCCATCAGTTCGAGGTTGTGGTCGAACGAGTGGAGCTCGTAAGGCTGCAAACAAATGGCTCAGAGCTCGTCATCTTCGAATTCTCTGACAGTGTGTCCTTCGAGGTTTTTGGGGAAGAAGAGAGATTTGGCTGATCTACTGCGCTCTAACTCAAGATTATTAGAGAGGTAGCTTTTATCCTCATCTCCTTCAACTCCAATTATTGTTGGAAGTTTTACTTCTTCTTGTACTCTGAGAGGATTTTTCTTCATTGCAGTTACTGCTTCTTTAGAAGAATGTGACTTCTTATTAGCCAATCTCTTCCTCTGGAGCTCAGGAATACCACCCATACCCCAAGAATCATCCTCTTTCTCACCTCTAACTCCTCTATCCCCCTCTCTCCTCCCAAACTCCTCTATGCCTAATACCCTATTCCCAAGATCACCACTCTCATTTATCTCAAAATCAGGATCTTCCTCAAACTTCGCTAGAATATTCCTATTTCATTAAAACCCTTCTCTCACCTCCTAAAAGCACTCATTAACCCCCTTAAATTTCCAAAATTCCCTCTCTTCCCACTTAAAACTCCCAAAAATCTAAATTATTCTTACTCTTTATTTTTCTTATTGTTTGTAATATTTCCTTGAAAACTTTTTGAAAGAAGCTGGTCGTCCTCAGAGTGATCTATTTTGAGCAGGTTATTAACAGGTTTTGGGGGCTGGGAGGGAATAGAGGTAGGGTTTTGGTGGTAATGGAGGGTTTAAGGTTACTCATAACTGTCTTGTCTCGGAAGATTGGTTCATATGGGTTATCTTGGAGGTTTATGAATTCTCTAAACTGATGATGTGGATTTTAAGAGATACTTTTATCATTTGGATGTTGTTCTTTATATCCGTTTATTGTCTTGTGAGATTTCGAGCTCTAATTTCTTCTCCTTTTTAACAGGTGAACCTATTTCGAGGTCTTGGTTTTTCAATCGGATCTCAGAAGATGTTTTCTTCTGATGATTCTTCATTGGCTTTTTCTTAGGCTGGCTTCGTCTTCAGAGGAGGCATTTTCCTCCAGCACTAGACTGGCTTTCTGGGAAGAACTTGTGATCCCAGAATCCTTTCTCATTTGGGATCAAATAGGAGATGATTTCTTCAATGCATGCTACATCAGCGTACAGAAATGCTCTCTCAACTCAGTCATCTTGGAATCCCATCTCATAAAGTTTGATTATCAGATCTTTCTTGCCTGGACTTTGCTTGATCTGGTAATTTGCTAGATGTTCATGCTAGAAGAGTACCTTTATACTTGTGCTTATTGTAAACAGATCTAAGCTGGGCTGAATAGAATAATTCCAGATTCGTCATTCCTTTTGAATATGCTTCTCTAATTTTGGCTATACTAGAAGAATTGTAGTAAAAATTGCTGATAATATTTGATGATAGATGTTCTTGCAACTTTAAACTAGATAAATCAGGTTTGTAAGATAGCACCACCCAGAAATATTGTTGTGAAAGACTCTTGCAAAAAATATAAAACTGTATATTTTGTTAAAAATGTGCTCAAGAGATTTTGAGCTAAGTATAAGTGTGAAGATATATGAAAATTATGAAATTTTCAAGCATTTTAGGAAAAATCGCAAGGGTATTTGCATAACCTTAATGGAGTTCAGATTCATTTTTGTTTTATAAAAGCGAGCTTTTTGTATCTAAAAATGCTTGCCATTCTATTTATTCGATTGTTTTAAGATTATATTAAAAATCAGTGATTCCCTAAGTTTGCAATTTTATTCTGACATCTACAAAGCTGAGAGGATTGTCTTGAGAACAGTCTTTCTATTGACTCATTTAAAATTGAAATAATTGTGATAGCTAGCGATATTCTAAAATTGGACATTTTGATTTAAGTATTGATATAATTTAGAATTTTTAAAAGAGAAATTGACTGAATAAGCTTTTAATCGCTAATTTAGTGATTCCAGCAGTCATAAAATTGTTAAGAATAAACTATTTTCGAAATTTCTCGAATAACTCTAAAATCTAGGAGTATTCGCTTATTTCTATTGTATTTTAATATCTGAAAATTACATCAAATTGTCTTTGGTTATGGGCCAAAAAGATGTTAGAAATTGTTTGAAACTTAAGGTTTGAATCACATAAATTATTTTGAAGGTGTAAGAATTAATCAACAGGCTGAGTTTAAACTAGTTCAAACAATTTTGTAAAATAGTAAGTGAGAACGGGATATCTCAACTTTCACAAAGAAACAGGGAGGTGTTATTTGAAAAATATTGCCAATATTTTTTTTAATTAGCAAAGTTACTTTAATTGTACAAATGCGAAATGTTATAATTTTGCAACATTTCGTACATAGATCTAGCTTATCTGATAGGTTATGCAAATTTTATCTATACTTTCTTTAATGCCATTTCATCAGAATACATAATTACTAATATCCTGACTAACTTGGAGTAATGAGGAAAGAGACTATAACTTATAAGTATGTTGATCTTATCTAAAAATATAGTTTCTGAAATTCAATCAGTTTTAAAAATTTGAGCACTATGCTATAATATATAGAACCTATCATAGATTTACTTCTACTTCCTTTGAATGTAGCTGAGCTAGATCCATCCCCGGCATTCTTCCTAGAACTGCTCATCTTAGGATTAGAATGGTCAGTCATATGTACTGAGTGATCGGTAGGAGTAATATTCTTGATAATTTGTGACTTAAACACATTCTGAGATAAATTTCCAAACATCTCTTGTGTCTTCCTTTCTTCATCGTCAAAGGTATCCTTCAAAGAGTCTTTTGCCTTAATAGATACACTTTTTGGAGCCATTATAAGCTCTTTACTACATCTTCTTTCTCTGGTGAGGACTGGAGATGCTCAGATTTCTCTACAGGGCCATGCACATTATAGTCTACAATATCGCTAAGATTGTCGAACAATTTATTGGTCTCGTTGCTTTCATTTTCAAACTTATTTTTCCTCAATGAGTTCTAGGTTTGTGTTTGATTTCACCTCATCTTGGTTTTCGATAAACATCTCGTAGTTTTGTTCAGGGATCTCGTTTACTGAGATTACAGATTTTATATCAGATTTCCTTTTTATAGCTTTTTGGTTAAGACTCATAATAGAGTGTCTTTGAGTGAAGCTAGGTCTTGAGAGAGTTTCATTGTTAATCTTCGCAAGCAAGTTGTTCTCAGCACCAAATGTTTCCCTCTTTTTATGCTCACTGATTAATGCTCCCTTTCAGATGGGTACTTCTTCAGAGTCGCCGAATATGGCAGTACCTATTGAGTTAGAATTAAAAATACCTCTATGTCCGATGGTCTTTGAACTATTGTTAAATACTCTTGGTGATACTCCTCCATTATTTGTAGAAGGTTTCTCTGAAGCGAGAATGCTAGAATCTCAATCTGATTTTGAGTCTTGTGAAGCATCTAAAAATTATTAACATTTTATGAAGCCATGCATGCATATAAGGGCTTTAAAAGTCATCCTCCATGTTTGAATATTTAAATTGCAACCAAACTTACTCATTTCGGGTGGAATAAATGCATGTATCTTTCAAAAAATAGCAGATCCTCGCTTGGCTTCTTTAAGATTTGCTATATAATGGATTGTAAGATTTAGTGGGAATTTAAGAAATGACCGATATTAAAAGATCAAGAATTTGTCAAATTACCAGGCATGATAGCTTTCATCGATTCCATTTATATTAGTTTATTATTTCAAACTCTCTATAAATTTTGGGGTTTTGGGGTTTTGGGGTTTTGGGGTTTTGGGG